GAATGATCGCGGTACAAATATAGCGAATAAATCTGTCGTATAATATGCAATTGTATAATTTTCGAAAGATTGTATAAATGTTGTATAAAATATAGTTTTGTAGATAAAACAGCAAAATACTCGCCGATTGGAAAGGTTGTTGAAAGTGCATTCAGGCACAAAAGTAAAGAGCATGAAATTTATTCAGCAGTTTATAAGCCGTTAGGTGCTTCGTGTTTCGATAGAGGAAAACTTGGACATAAATTGTTGTCCGTTCTAATGTATACGCGTTTTGCCAAATACGAAAGTACCAATTCGAAAAAGAAGCTTCCGAATGATTTGGTTTCACATATAATTACAGATGGAAAACGTTCAACATCTTTGATGCAACACAGAGAGCATTTCTTGGCAATAAAAAGACCGGCCAATAGGAAGATCCGTATGATGGAGAAGACGAGAAGGAAAAGGATACAGAGTCAACGAGATCGTCAAAATATATCGACTGTACGACCAGCGTCCAAATCCAAATCCTGAATTAAACATGAGGAAGTAGCAGTCATTCCGATCGGCGGTAACGGAATGGGATGCATGGGACGATAGAAACAAATGGAACGCGTTTCTACTTTCATTGTAGAAAATTCCGTTTCTGAATCCCACCGTGACTGCAAATCAAGCCGAATCCTACTTACATAACGGCTATTGATAACTGGTTTGTGTAGATTCGAAAATCGACGTAAATGTCGAGAAGTGACTTGGTCCATCCTTCGGAGGAGCTTTCATAAAAGCGAGAAAACTACTGTTTTGAACAGCGGCTCGTTCGTTTGGCGAAACAACTGAGATAATGTATAATGCAATGCAAAATCGAATTACATCATCGTGAATTAATTCAACGTATGCAACAATCTGAACGCAATCGGGACGAATAATGAAATCATTAACAACCTCGCACAACTGGCTCGAAGAATTTGCTTTCTCACCTCACTAATTACGACAAAGGCAAAGGCGTGTGAGACGAATGGCAGCAGCAGAGGATCGTCACAAATAGGACAAGTGGCCGCCGCGCCTTTGAATACACGCTCTGCAAATTGCAGCCAGCAAGTCGTACGCGCTTCTCACCGGCGAAAAAAAGATTCTCCCGGTGCAATCCGGTTTCGAGATGGATTTAAGTCGGCAATGTTATGCGAGTTGCACCGAAAACTTTCGACTTTGATGCAGCTTCTTAATCAATTTAGAACTAATTTCTTCTTATCTAAAATGTCGAGATACCAATAACTTCTGTGTCAGAAAAGATTGAAAATAAAGAGCTTTCCGCGAAGATTAAGATACAGATAAATTTATTGTTTACCATAAAGTTTAATCGTTCTCTTTAATTCAAAAGAACATTTCGAAAAACACAAATACTATTTAGAATTTTATTTCAAATTTTGATTATTTAACTAACCATTAAAAATTTATAAAGTCGATATTTTTCCTCACAGAAAAAATGATTTCCAATTCGTTAAATAATAATGATCAAATGTAAAATCAAAGTTATGGTAGGATTGTAGACGTGACTCGCGATCCGATTATCTTTCGAAAAAATGATTTAATGTATGAACGATGTTGTTAATTATACAAGATACATCAATCATAAAAATAAAGAAGACTTTTTATATGCTCATTTATCTTTCAGAAAGTATTCCCCAATGTACACAGCTCTTCGATCAACTATTCTGAAAAACCGAAAATAAATTTGGACCGAAGGAAGAGTCAAATCGTAAATGCGCATCATTGGAAAGCTGCAAAAAAGATGCTGAAAAGTTTGTTGAAGAGTTGTAAGTTAATGACGGCTCCTTGTCAATAGTGTTTTCACGCAGTTTCACACCAAGTTACTCAGAAAGTTGCCACGAGAATTTACGATAGGCGACTTTCTGCAATCCGTGAGAAATAAATTTTAATCCTAAAACTTCTGTGAACGCGATAGATGTATTGTAATACGATGAATGCGCGATATCTTCGCATCTAAGAAAACTAAACAAACCGGAGTTGTAAGAATTACGGAAAATTCTCTTTAAAATGCGAGCGAATAATATCACTAAGACTGCGTTTTGCGTGTACTGCGTAATAATATGTAAATATTATGCAAAAGTATAATTTCGGGAAACATTAATGTTGATACTATTTTGCGAACTACTCGCTGTGACCTGAAATGCAAAACGAGGACACCTTCCGGTGCAGCAAAGTAATTTTAGATACATAATAGGAATTGCAAATTTCACGCGTTTAAGGCCCATCCACCGCCAAAAACGCGGTAGGACCTAAGGTTCCGGCGGCGGATGGGCCTTAAACGCATCAAGTTTTTGTGTGGGAAGATTGGGAATATACCAATGCTTCTCTCTACAGAACTCTACTCGGCCCGAATTTTCAAGCAGCGTCGCTAAATGTAATAACATTCTCAAATAAATAAAATCAATATCTGTAATATATTCTTAGATTTAAATACCGATAAAAGTTTACGCGCAAGCCGTTTCCTGCAAAATACACCCCCCGCATATTAAAAAAATATTATGGTGGCATGGTTTCTTTATAAAAAGAATTAATTCTTGAAAATAAAAAATAAAAAAACTTTTCCTTATAATATTTTTATCGATCTCTAATATGGTTTTAAATATGCAGCTGGGTCACTGCAAAATATATTTCATAAAATAAGTGTACTATGCAATATTTTGTGCACGCTCTCATAGGATTCTTTGATCCTAAAATTTAATGCACTGTTCCATCTCATTTTATCCTATTATATTATACTATGTTATATCATATTCCATATTATTATGATAACTACTGTAACAGAGGAATAATATGGGAAAAAAAGCTACCGTAAGAGAAAATGTAAATGTAACACGTAAAGGAAAGATTGTTCACGCGCTAGACAAGCGAGGAAATATCGAGCGAATATCTCAAGGACGTGACGGTAATTTTACGAAATTCTGTAGTATCCCATTTTGTATGTCGAATGTAATCTTTTATCATGCGCGACGAATTTCCTAGGGACACGACCGAGCCTAAAAAGGGACTTGAGACGTTCTTTACTCTGCTCGCTCGTGCAAATTTAAGTAGGAAGAAACCTTCCGCTGTCAGCCTTCGACTCCTCGCAACCCTTTTCTTTCTTTTCCTCCCGCCTCTTTTTCCGCTTCCTCTCCCTATCTTCCTCCTCTCTTACTTCGGTCTATTCTTTCAGAGTTTTTATTCCCCGTGGAAGGAGTATTAGACGTCTACAGTTCTTACACGTGCCGTTAACTCCTGTTTGACGTGCCAAAAGCGAAAAGCAAACATAATGGTTTTGTACAAAAGCATTGTTGGTAAAATCAAATTTCGGAGATTATATAAAATTATGAAAATTGATCTTACACTGCGATTGATGAGACTGAACAAAGCAAATATGTCACTTTCTTACTACAGTACGCTTCATAAGATTTTTAAATATCTTTGCAATTTTTCAAAGTTTGCCTATTAATATTGATTCATAATTTTAAAAGTTATTGACACACATAAATGCACAAGCGGTAGGAACTGCGTAAAACTTGTGTGAAAAATTTCATCGCAAGTATTTCATCCCGTGAATAAACATTGCCTGAATAATGTATTAGCTACAAACATAGAAATAAGTCGTAAATATTAAAAATCCGGCAGAATATAATGTATTATTTTTATAACATAAAATTTTAAATATCTACAAACGTACTGTAGTATTATATTTATATGTAATAGTGTTTTATACGCGCAAAGTTAATAAATAACGAAATTCACGAAATTAAAAATTAACTAATAATTAACTAAGAATGAATCAATTCGTTGACGACAAGAGAAATGCTAGTTTGATGAAAGCTCACGTTTTACGTATCTTCAAAACAGATTTGTGTTCGTAATTCCTGAGCTAATGTTGAACTAAATGCGCTTTAATAACAGCCGTCTGAAAGTGCAAGACACGCGTCTCTGAAAGTGCGATGACGGCGAACAGTGTTTTCAATTTCGCGCTCGAGAGACTTTATTCTCGAGGGAAAGGTGTTCGATCCCGCGCTCTTCCAAAGCGCAGTTGCGAGGTCCATTTGACGCATCGTTTGACAAAGGAATAAAAAGAGTCTTTCCCATTTCTATAAAAACGTTATAATCGCAATTAATTATCTATCTATCTATCTGAGTGCAGTTAATAGTAAATCTTAAGAATCGATGAATTTTCCATTAAACGAGACTATGTCATTGTTGTACGTTCATTTTGGATTCGGTCGTTGATCTTAAATCAGAATGAATACATAGAAGATAACATTGTCGTAAAAGTTGACAAGGTAGATTGTCGAAATGGAAAGTTATGCGCGCTCGTTTCTTCCGCAGATTTTCAGAAAATCCGCGCAAATCCTAATGGAAGATCGAATTTCGAGCGAAAATTGTTCAATACGATAATCCTTCCCATATTACAATTCTATCACAACGCACGCTTCGGGAAATTTTCTCCAACTTTGCCGTCTATACATATATCGATAAAAAGGTTACATTGCAAAATGAAATTTTCAATCCTGCTCTTTAGGAATTTTCTTCCCTCGGGAAGAACGGCGTTTAAAGTTCGTGCCTCGTGCACGAGCTGATAATACTCGTTTGACGTGGCTTGCGAAAAATAAACACGAGCTGTAACGCGCTTTCTGAGCGAAACGTTACCTTTGGAACTAATTTTTCCTGAAACTTTGCCCGTCGTATTAAACAGAGGCGCGCGGGCGCAGAGAGAAGAGAGTAGAGTGTGGCTTTTTCAAATGAAGTTTCTCGAACTATTCAAGGAACCGTCTACAGTCCGCATAAAGATTACGTCTTATTCTTGGCGCTCGACTTGACGCTAATATTAATAACCTTCCGTCTATCCTTGAACAGTCTACAATATTATCCAGGAAAATAAGATTCATCGGTTGGAATTTCAAGTACATTTCCACACGAATGAAAACTTTACATTTCAATAAGAGTTTAAAGCGGGTATGATAAAATCCATCATCACTTACTTTGATTCATCCTGATCCTCGTCATCGTCTTCGGAATCAAAGAAGGCATCATCGTCATCAGAATCGACCGAAGTTTCGGTCCTCATCCGTCGCTGTTGAATTGCACGAGACTTTGGAATCACTATATCTCTGAAAATATATTCATGCAACCTATAATACATTTTGCATTTAAGAGTATCGTAGAAGAGAAACATTAATGTAGTATGTATACTCGAAAAAAGAGCAACTACGCTACATGTCATTCTACACCTCTCTATTATCTTTCATGTTTTATTTTTAAATAACGTAATGGAACGCTTTCAAATAGAATATATCTATGGAAAATTTTGCGGAGTGACGTGTAGCATTCTATGTATAAAAAGCTATAATTGTATTGAGAATAATTAATAATGTTTTTGCTATTTCCTCTTTCGTTCAACATGATCGATGTAGTCTCGCTATTACTAATCAACAATGAAAAGAGTTTTTTTCGTGACAAATAAAATGTAAACTCGACATCAACTTTAGATTCTAATTGTTCTATCTCAAGCCTTGGAAACTTTGAGCAATTCAATGCGCGCGATTTGCATAAAATCTACTTTATTCGATGAATTAATGCTCGTTATGAAGTTCCGTGTCCTACAACCCCGCCTGAGGCACTAGAAGCCCTAGGAATTACAGGCGCGAAGCACGAATTAGCTTTATGCAGGACAAAAATTAAACGGCCATTACTCGAACTACATTACCGAACTAAACTCATAGTGTTTAACTGGCGGGCGTCCTAAATCTCGGGTTTCTCAGCATTTGCTAAACTAACGTAATCACCTTAGCACAACTGAATTAAATATAGTCAATCGAAATTTATTAACTTTTTTATTTTATTGCTTTTATCGCTTGCTAATTTTACTCCCGATTTTGATGTTCTTTCCTCAGCTTCGAAAAGTTACCTATTCAGCTCTGGCTACTGGCACAGTGCCTTACAGTTTCCGCAATTATCTCAATAAAACCAAATAGTTCAACAAAAAATGTCTTTATATAAAGATATAAAGATTATGTTACATTATATCAAGAATAAAATAACAAACTAACAATAAAAAGCATGACATTTTTGTGTGTTTTTTATTCAATTGTGCTAAATGATTAAACCAGCTTCATAGATAAAATTTCTCGTTTTACTGCTGTTAATACTGCTGCTCACGACAGATACGAAACGACGTTATCAAAAGCAATCTTCCACCATTATTTAACTCGACTCTCATTACAATTTTTCGTGTTGGAAAAGTCTTGATATTTTTATATATTTTGTAATAGAATAAAAACCTAGTGACTTCGAATTTTTAAATTTCAAAGTTTTTAAAATTACATTGTACAATTGACTGATTATAGTCTTCCATTTATTATATAAAACAATGCTATAAAATACATATTCTCTATAGAAAATAACGAAAAAATTGTAAAATTAAATGTATTAAAAATTAAAATTCTCGAAATCGGAATTTATTCTTTTCAAAGTGAGTTTTATATAACAAAACTCACGTTTAATAAAAAATCAACTATACAATATATGTATATTCAAACAGATTCAAATAGAATTATTTTATCGTAATTTTCACAGTAATATTTTTCCATAATAACATTAATTTAAAGAGTGTTAAAAAAATAAGAGATTACTTAATTATATCTGCACTAGTCATCAGCAAATCGTTTATTGTCAGATGTAAACCACCCTATCGCGGATCGATTGAATGCAAAATCGATACACGAAAGTGAAATGCACGCCCATAATCAGTGCTCCACCGGCAGAATTAATCTCCAACGGTGGCATCGATTTACCCGGGCGAGCCATTGAGCGAGCCATCCGGCTGCTTAGCCGTTAATGATGCATTAAGGTCATTTAATGTCGTACGGGCGCTCCAAGACGAATATCGCTGATCGAGATATTTGGGTATAGAATACAGGATATGCGCATAGATCGTCGGGAAAACGTGCAATTATAGTTAATTGGCAATAAGCACCGTGAGAAGAATCAATGGTCACCGATACGACTTCGAGTGCGATTTAATGCATTTTGCGGCGATACTTAAATGCCAACATTGGCAGCGTATATACATATGCACAACAATATGATTATATTATATCGAGTAGCGGCAAGCAGTAGTAACATTCGAGTGTTATCGCACATGGGTATTGCATATTTAAATATAGCAATAACAAATTCTGGTATTTATTCTATTTATTGTCTTGTATTGCACTCATTTTTACTTGCGTTAAAATTATAGACACAAATTATATACACTTGAGATAATTTGATAGTGTGAAATTATTGATGGTTTGTAGGAAATTAATGCTAACAAGTAGATATTTAATAAGCAGCATACAATAGAAATACATTTACTTTTATTTTCATTCGTTGAATTGAATTGTTGGAGAAACTTGTTTATTATTAAAAGCTAACCGATAATTAAAAGATAACCGATACTGCAAAATATTTCGTCTTTCACTTATCATGAAAAGAGAGAACGTGTTAATAACTTGTTAAATTTGAGCATCTGTGATAAGGAACTCGTTAATTAATCGAGTTTGGTCATTCAGAATATCCTATCTTAAAGTGATCTTGTATTCAAGAAAATGAAAATAAATAATCGAACACTCACCCTGATTTATGAAGTTCCTTCTTCGAGACGCAAACGGCCGTGAATGTGTCCTCCAAAAGACAGAGTTCCTTCTTCTTGCAATTGAGCGGGCGACAAAGCTCACCTGAAACAAGAAACAAACAAAAGTTAATTTTATGCTATTTTGTAACACTACAGACAAGAATCAATAAATTTTCTTCTCTATTATTCATTATAACACGGAAATGTGTAATAGCTATGTAAATTTAATTACATTGATGATCGTCATCCTTCCTGCAGTCACGCTAAACTAAAGACGCATTTCCTGTAATGTTTATCGAGCTGTTTATAACCGATGCCATGAATAACGCGACGTATAATCGTTGGAGGTTAATCATCACGGCTTCATAATTCTTCCTAGTGCAAAACGCACAATACGTTATCGTTTATTGTGCAATAATTGTTTGCCGTAATAACGAAAACCGTAATGATTACTGTGAAAGCGATCGATACAGCACCGTCAATCCGAATGAATTTTCTCTCCAAGAAGTAAAACGCTTCATTGTGTGTGTGTGCGCGCGCGCGCGCGTGTGTGTTTGTGTGTGTGTGATCCGCAGTGGATGCACAGTGGGTATCCGCTAGCGCACTGAGCATTTCCATTCGACTGGAAATCGCCGACAAGCGATATTGGTCGTTCGAGAGGGGGGGGGGGGGGGGAGGGGGAATACGCCAACGGATCGAATCTCTCTTCTCCATTAACCCCAGAACCAAGCATCGTCGATGTCTTCTCCTCGCCTGCTGTTCTTGCAATCAATATCAAAATGGGACCCTACTTCGGTCACACAGCTTTTCGGTATGCAAAAATAAAAAAACATGTGTGTCGGAGTACGGCTCGCAAGACTGTGTCCTCGCTTCAAAAATTTGCCTTATAATCTGAAGATTTTGAGGCAATTATTTTCAATAATAATAATTTGTATGCTTTTTAAACAGACTTAATTGACCTCATTTGCAATAAGATGACACATCAAGTGCACAATAATTAATATAATTAGTATGTGATGCAGTGAATTTATATTAGAAATACTGTAATTATAATTCAAACAAATGTAATAGATGTAACTGTTCCAATTACTGTAATTAACAAATGTAATAGTTATATTATTATAATTATTATTAATGCTGAAATAATTGCGCGCGGTCCAAACTACCATCACGGTTGTCAAATAAACTATAACTACTTAGTACAATCAGCTTTGTCACCTTGCTTTTATGCAATTAATTGTAAGTTTATCCGAAAGCTTATTATATTACTTACATTACTATGACGTAAACTACATTATGAATACTGTTATAAACTTATGAAAGTTCGTTTGCAATGTTCGCTTTCGTGTGACAGTTATGAATATCCACAAAGACTTGATAATATCTTAAAGCTTATTTAAAACCTTATTTATTATCGTATTACTTAAATCATTATGTACATAAAAGTGCACCACAATACTATTATAAATACTTGAATAAATACTTGAAAGATACGTTTTCCACATTCCAATAATATTTAGAAATATTTGAAAGGAATTCGTAACGTTACAATGCCCCGAATTAAATAAAAAAACATTACTATTGCTACGTTATTAATGCAAACGAGCAGGTTACATTTTGTGAACATTATTATAAACTCATAAAAATTCAAGCTCAAGAGTTTATGTGACAGTTATGAACATCCGGGAAAATTTTGTAGCGCGGCGGTGTCGCGTGAAATCGCTTAATGTTTCTTCTCGTCGAGTAGTATGCGAGTAGTGAGCGGAAGGCAACCGTGCGCCAAGAGAGCAGACGGCCACCTTTCTTGTTAGCCGATAAAAGAGGAGCCACCCATCATCCCATCCCGCACGTTAAAGATTTCAAAATATCCAATTAAAAGTTTCTCCCGTGATGCGGAGCTTGTCTCTGGATGCGGTAGAAGTAATATCGCACAAACGGGACAGCGTTGGGTCGGAATTAGAGTCGACCGTACATGAATTAAGAAGACCCGGTCGAGACTTTCCTGACGGCTTAATTTCGCGGGATTAGACGGGAAGGGGAGGAACGTGGCTATATAGCTAAGCCCTGTCACGTTTCTGCTTGTCGTCTAGCTGAAAACTTTCCCGTGGATCGGCTAGACGAAGACGCATGTCCTCCGCAGGCGTGTGTCGCGCGCGCTGTATCTCGGAATGAGCGATCTGTGGTAAGATCTTACATGTTGCGGGATATCGCCACAAATCCTGTTTAATGGACCAAGTATTCCACATCGTAGTTTTCTCGCGTGAAAAAGGTGTTGTCAGAAAGGAAGATAACGCGATGCGGCAGTTTTCTCTCGCGATGCGAGAGTCCAAACTCGGAAGCGAATGCACGTCGTTCTGGAGAAAGCACTGAGTCTTCGACAAGACGAAGAAAAGTATTGAATGTAAGCATTTGCCGGCCATATTTGAGCGCTTCTTCGAGTCGGATCGAACGAATCCGCCGAGCGTAACTCCGGATTTCGCGGTAGTAAAGTCGGGAGTTTTGTAGCGAGCGGCTGGCTTTCTAGCTGCTTGAGAAAAATATTTCAGATATTCCGGCCAAGTGCGTTTCCGACGAATTTAAGAGATTGTACGACTGTACGAGTCTTGTGAATTTACGCGAGCATAGATCTGAGTATTAATTATTCAACGCACAAAGTTTTGCATTATGTTACTCAGATTAAAAAATTAATGATGTAATCACGAATCTTGCAGAAAAATGTTGTACAATTCTTGGGAAAAAAGATTTCAATAAAAAATCCCTCCCCTTTATCCGCCAACAACTATTTAGCACACATCAAAATCATAAAAAGCGAGAAGCTGTAGATTAAAAAGTAAAGAGATGAAAAAGTATGACGAAAATGCGTCAAGTGGCTTGAGATATAAATGAAATACTAAAGTTCTGCATAGCAGGGAAGGCGTTAAAAACAACAATACAATTTCACGTCGGCTGTTTGCTACGCTCGACAAAATGATAAAGTTCTGAAATAGTTGTTGGAAAAAAAAAAAGTAAATATAATTGAGGATTGTTTCGAGTAAGAGAACAAAAGTTACGCAAGACAGAAGTATTCCCTGTTCCCACAGATTGTGGCGTTGATTATACGGTAAAGCAAAAAAGAGCGAAAGAATGTAGGCGGGCGGAATGCAGAGAAGAAAAAGGACAAGACCTCCACAGCGGCAACTCAACAGAATATGACGAACGTCAGGTGGCACGAGGACGGAATATATTATAATTGCAGAAAGGACCGGATTTCTCAAGACTTCTCGGCTCGCTTGCTCGACGAGCGCGCTAATTTACTTGGAACTGTTCCTCCCGGTCGTAGTCGCCGCCGGTGATAGTAATCCACCTTTTGTTTCAAAAGTTCATAAAAGATGGTTGAAATCCCCTTTGCTGTGGCAGGTCAGCATTGTCATGTTAACGGCTAACTTTTGCTACCGTATTGTAATCGCTCATACAGTTATTAATTCAGCCAAAAGAGAAAAGAAGCGGAAAGCCGCGGCTCTTCGTTTACCTTTCTTCCGCGGATACTCGAATTATGTGCCTCGAGACGTTCGCGGGGGTTCTTTCGAAGCCCCGAACACGATTTATGAGGGCAATCGATAGTTGGCGAAAAGATGGCCAAGATCCTCTCATCCCATTTATTATCAACATCGTCCCTGCGAGGGGGGAGGATCCGCTACGCGTATACCATAAATCGCGTAAATATCTACGGTGTCGAGAGTGAGCGCGCGCAGTTCAATGACATTACAATATAGATTATACGACGCATATTACAATACTGACGATTACACGGCACAATGCATTCGGAACTGGGGGCATTTGCTGCGAATTAAACGTCTCGGCGCGGGATCGATCAATCGTGCGTGCGTATTTGTGAGATGGAATTTGATCAACGACGCTAATAGTACTGGCGCGAATCGATGGCGTGGAGAACAACGAGACGCCCGATAACGGCGCACGACACGATAACATGGGCTTGCATTTGATGTAGCGGATGCAGGCGGATGCAATCGCGCGCAGTGTCCTGAGACACCTCGACGCGCCACACTGTGCGCCATGCGCGAACGCATATTTGCATGCGCTCCGATGACTCTGTCCCGCAGTAATGATACATGCCCTCATAGGACGATTAAGTGGCGCGTGCTTTTAGAGCAAATTGATTCGTTACGCGCCGATGTAGGGACTTGGTCGGCATTTCGAAATAAGCACCTTCAAAATCCTCCCCGAGCGTCTGACATGGATGTGTTTTCAATTTTATTTCGATACTACGCGCAACAAAAAATCTATTAGTGTATATTTTCTGCATTGAGAACAGAATTGCTCGACAAACGGGATAGAATTTACATAATGACATAGCTTCTAATACGTTAAATTCGATCGAACATAAGTGACATATGCATCGAGATGTATCGTGATACGGGTATTATCCGCTAACTACACTCCCCTCTCTTTCTACATTGTACATTATCAGCTAATAATGAAATGTTCGCAACGTATGTATTATCCTATAAGATCGCATTATTATTACAGGCAAGTCCACAATTATATCTGTACGCTGAAACATTAATTTGTACTCCCGTCACAAATAAATATCTTGCACAGATCGTTACAAATATCACATAATTAAGACGTATACACAACGTGTAATCATGCGTATCGCTTGATATAATATATTACAATTTATGCATGGCGAAGTCGAGTATTTTACTTTGTCGAATTCCGAGAGAATTTTGAGTCATTATATCAGCGTAAAGTAAGATATTTCCAATGGTAAACTAAATCACGGATTGTCATAAGAATTCATTCAAATTATGTCGCAAAATGTAAAAATACTAAAATAAAAAATAATAAATATTAGAATTTTTACAGTAAATAAATATATATATATATATATATGTATCTTGTATAAATGCAATATAAAAATAATTCTGTTATTTAAAAAAACGTCCATGTACGCAAGTCGATAAACATCTATAAAATTCGCGTAAGAATTAAGGATGTATCATGTACTACCTGCTTCATCGCCCGAAGGAAAACGACGATCAGCGCGAATAACATCGCAAAATCGAGCGCGGAAGAAGATTCTATGGAAAGGAGTATTAAATACGTGACTCGACTCATCTTAGCTTCTCCATCGTTCAGCTTCCACCGACCCTTAAACTATTTCGCGTTAAAGAGCGTGAAACGGAACCTATCGTCGTTACTACGACCTTTATAGCACTTTACTTAAGAATTTGCTATAACATGCGCGCTAATAAGAAATTTTCGGAAAGAAAATTGGAAGGAATAGAGGTGTACATCGCGAATTCAACATATTCTCATCATCGTACACCTCACCTTGTAACGTTAAAAGTTTTCACCCAGTTTTCATTAAAAATTCCCAAGGCGCTTGGTGCCTCTTTGCTTTTAAAACGTTGACGATGAACATCATTTTTATCAACTCTGTCGTAACTGCGACTTGCATTTATATTTTTTATCAAAGTTTTTTTTTCATAGAATAAACTTGAAAACTATAGTACCAAAATGAGCATCATTTTTAAGATAAATTGCTTGAAAGTTATTTTTTATAAATGACTGCAATCTCCCGGCTTTCAAATTTTAAGTAAAGTATAATTTCAAGAATTACAAGTACGCTTTTAAAATAAAATTTTCACAGCTTGATTGCAACACGTAATTGCAATGTAATAGAAAATCATGTTTTGGCCATACGTTCAGTATTCACTCATTATTAATTATAGTTAACAGAATTATTCACTTAATTATATAACAAGCATTGGCAATCGTATCAATAAACTTTCACGTCACGTTGTGCGTGCACTTTGTACATTGAATAACGTAAATATATAGTACAATATGTGATTATAATTACATATTATTGAATATGCATAACACAGCATTTAGGCGAACTAAACCGATTTCAAAACATAAAGGAAACTATAATTAGTTGATAGCTTTTCTGAAAGCACGTCGTTTTACACAATTATAGTTAGACGTATAAATAGATTTGTATATATGTATATTAATGTATAAATTAATAAAAAAACATAGTATTTATGAATTAAAGAATATTATACGCATCCGCGAGAATGTTCACACACGAAACCGTCAAAACCGATTCGAAAAGAGTTGAGAAGAAAGAAGAAGCGAGAAAAACGAGAAGAACAGTGAAAAAGAAATGTTGCAATAAATACTAAAATTTATTTAACTCGTTGGATCCGATAAAATGTAGGAAATTGAAGAAATTATCATGATTTGAATGAAATACTGTCAGTTTGATAACGTGGGACCAGTGAGATGCCCTTAAACGTCAAATGCAGAAGTTTCATCACAAACTTCAATTTTACATTTCTATGTAATATTTGTAAGAAAAAAAATATTTGTTGAGGCACATCATGCGCGCCGCGTGATATTCTTATTGAGAATGTTCACGTCATTTTTACCAACCGTCTATCGTTCCGGCTTTTACTTCAGATTTTCACGATATTCTACTGGTGCAAGGCGAAGTATATATAATATTTGGAATTTTCTGCGGAATTTAGCGGCAACGCTCGTGATAAATATCACATTTCGCCTAGCGAACCAGTCGACGGGCGAAGAGATTCCATTCGAATTCATACCGGTCGTACGTATATCCGGCTTTACGATCCTCCTGGTGCGAAAAGTTCGCGAACGTGCATCACCGCGGAGGTGAAAAATCGCGAGGCATTCGAAAGGCGGGCAATGACATCGCGTACGACGATCTATACTCGAGGGAACTACACACCGCATGAAATTCATTTGATATGTCATAACACAATTCGATCGACGAATCGGCAATAATGTCCAATACCCACCCAAACGTCATCTGATACGATTAATATATAAATGTTAAAATATTTTGTCCAGTTCCCATGTGCAATTAAAATAAAGTCTGATTTATCTCGCGAAACAAAATCATAACAACAATGTTTATTACAAAATAATAATTACGCTTCGTTTTTGTCTCGTCAGCTGTGCATATTTTTTATCATATTGAGTCATTAATAAATGTACCTTACATTTAGAACAAAATAAAAAAACATTATTACAAATTGGTTTAAAAGTTGTAGATTAAAAATAGATATCTACAATTGTAAATACATGCAAATATTTTTAATGTAATGCTACTCACTGTTCGGATCATGTATCCAGCGTTTTTTGTCTCCAACTTTCATTATGCGGGTATCATCCTGAAAGAAAGAAAAAAAATTGCCATTATAGAGAAGATCGATTTACATCTACACATATACATCGTACATACATGTATATATATGCTGATTAAAATTTATTTTGAGATATAATGGGGACACGCGAATATAGAACATAGACTCGTTGAAGGTCGTGTTTTCGCACCGTCACGAAATCAAGGGTAAATGGCGTTTTGCGCCAAAATGCAGTTCGATTGATGCGGTATGAAAGTTGCCGTATGTACGTAAACAGAAAATATGACGAACGATTGCTTGTCACGTGCATGAAATTCAGGGTTACCGAGCAAAATAAGAACGCGTAATCTGTATGAAGTTCAGGCCGAGGTCAGCGATAAAGAGGTGATGGAAAGGAGCGAGAGTTGGGGGGAGAAATATCGGAAATAGAAGGACGAAGAGGAACGAGCTTGTAAGAGCTCGCGTGATAGTTCACGTGCCAGTTTGCAACAATTCGTGGATAATATCTAAAATACCTATGGGAAACTGCCTGAAATGTAGGTTACTGACCACGCTCCACAGATCGACCGTAAGTTACTTAGGCTTCATAAAATAACGCAGCCAAATCGATAAAAGAATAGTAGCATCAAACGCTTGTAATGTTGTGGAATTACAAATGTGCATTAATATCGCGCGATATCTGTCGATATCTCTAATAAAATACTGAACAATAATCGAGAAATAAAAAAGGACACTCATTTCAATAAAATATATTCGACTAAAAAAATAAGGATCTTGACTCTTTGAGACAAACTAACTTTTTTGAAATGTTTTACACAAAGTACGTGTAATTGCACTACTTACACATTTTACATAATAAATGAAATGTATGCTGTTTAAAACCATTTCCTTTGAAAAAGTCCACTAGAGTAGTTTTCAAGGTTGATTGCCAATGAGAATAAATTGTAAGCTTTTTCTGTTTGCGAAAAGGTAATTACAAACTTTATTCGACTAACTTCGGATCGAAGCAAATTCGAGGGCTCGAAATAGAACCGTTGAATCTACAAATCAGAAAAGCCGTCGTCGCCTGGTACATCCTCGATCACAAAATATTACTTCTGTTTAATTGCCTAGCGACACCCATTTTACGGGAATAGGGATTGCGACAGAAATGCAAATGTTGCGCGAAAACAAATGGCACGTATAATACGGGCAATCAGGATAACGTCGAACGTTATCCTAAATAAATAGTTGTTGTAAACAGCTCGTAAAATGACGTCAGCGACGAAGAATGAAAACATGCACGCGACCAACGCGGCGCGCTATTCCCGTAGCCAGCAAAAATGATCGTGCGAAATATGGAGAGTCGGACGGAGAGACCAACGAAAAAGTCTTGCAAAAATAAAACCTGCGGCACGGTGCAAACGTGCCGTAGCGCCGTTATAAAATTACGAGCTCCATGAAAAATAGAATCGCCGAGTATCGAATGCTGCTTGTTGTATTATGTTTTACAAACGCAAAAACATAGAGAAAGTGGTGTGTTTTGCGGAGTTGAAAAATAGAGAAGAGTGATCAATAGCGGCGAGATTCGAAGGTCGCGGAAATCGCGGCAGATTTTCGGAAAAGTCAATCAGAAAACCGACATAATTTTTCAGCATTTTCAACAGCTGCATTTTCAGGATCTTGACACAATGAATTGTGATACGTTTCTCTCGACGGACGTACGACCTAACGCCCTAGTTTATCTCGGCGAAACGTGAACATGTCTGACAAATAGCGCATTGCTTTACGAAGCTTTCGTCTCTCTACCGCTGTGCTGTTTTATTGGCTCTCATTCTAAATGTTTAGCACTGCAGAATAGAAATTGTTAAAAATTGCGACTTTGCGCGATTTGTACGATTTTATTCATAGTCAACTTTGTTTTGTTTAAACAATCACAAACCTTTAATCGTTTTCAATCATGTTCATTTTAGTAGCAATTAATTACATAATTCTAATATCACTTTTGCGACAAGTTTACTTTAATAATAAATTTTACTTTGGATATATTATATTTGGATTAATCCGTGCTAATGCAATATTACTTTACCTTGCAGTAACGAATATTTTATCGTCTAATTTTGGTTATGATAAGAGAAGGTATGCTGTAGAATCCATTTGGTAAATAAATAAAATATACACCGCCCAGTTGCGGAGACCAAGCGAATTTGCCAACAAATGGGGAAACTGCGGCGAATTCCGGCTTTTACCGTTGTGAAATTTATCGAGTCACCGGATAAAGCTGAAAAACGAGCGGAAAATGTCGAAAAAAGCGAGAGAAAAAGGTGCGATTCGAAAAGTTGCCTTACCGCGGAACGGTTTCACACAGAAAATAGAAGGCATATCTGTGTTTGAATCGCATTATTGTACGGAATTTCATGTTGCGCAGCTATGCGAGTGTATTAACAATCGTGAATATATTAACCTACGTCTCAAACAGTATTATAACGATAGAATGATGAAATTTAGGGGAAACTCTAAAATATTTATCCGTTTAAGTTTAAAGGATTTCGTCGTGTCTCGTGCTAACTGTACGTCATATAAATATTTTTTACTTAATATATTTACATAATTAGTTGTTATTTAAGTGTTTATAATATTTAACTGATATTTTCATTTCCTTTAGAATATGCTATCTTGTTCATAAATATTAATCATATCTATCATTTATACATAAGAATTAGTAAATTCTTGTGGTACATCATGCATGTAATCGACATATTTATTCTGAATATGTAATGCACTTTAACACAATGTTTTTATACGAGTTACTATAAAATAAAACAGATATGAACGCGCAGTGCCGTAAGGAAGGAAAATCGAGTTTAATACCAGAAGATAAACCATTATTTTCTACAAGTATTATAAACATACAAGAACGAACATAAAACATAGCGCAAGTTTTTCTTAAGTTCCTTATGCAAACGTTATGTGTGTCCATATGTCATTAACGTCAAACTTAATAGAGATTATGTACAATACCTTGAAATTTCAGAGGTGATAGTATACTTAGACATGTCCATTAGATATCCATTAAAGATCTGCTCTTCTCTCTCTCCTTCTAGATAATGTTAAATGTTGCCGCAATAAACGTTGCGCGATACGCGCAACTACGATATGTGAGAAATAAATGTTCGACTTGCAGCAAGCTGCAGTTTCCAAGTGCAACAAGGCGCTTTGCTCGCACGGCATTCATTAACAAAATGTAGGCGTCTACTGACATTACGTCTCGTATGCGGAACGGGCAACCACGGTAGCGTGCATGCATTTGCGCGCACCACGTCGCGCCGCATTCGCGCGAATGCATAACGCCCGCTTTGTAATTCCGTTACTCTCCGGCCGGAATAATTTGCCACTTTTCCTCGCACGTGGCTACTTATGAATTATTAGTGGCCGTCAAAACGGCCTTCCAAGCTTGCAAGGATGCGTTTGGACAAGAGCAGCTTAAATCAAAAGAAACGGAATTAATCAATTTCCAAACAGGTTTTTCTATCTCAATGTAAAATTATAGTCGACTACGTATTATCGATTTAAATTGTGCATAAATTTTTATAACTATAAATTTACGTATGCATTTAATTATATTGCCACTATTCAACTATGCACACAAATCTAGAAACATTATTAATTATAAAGTTAAAATTAAAAATCTACTTTTCATTCATTTGAAATTGTTTCACATACATACTTTAAAAAACCAAGTGCCGAATGTCCAGTAATTGACACTTTCGCGGTTAATTTTTTTTTTTTTTAATTTTAATTGCTCTATTATTATACAAAGCTTCACATTGACCGCAGTTTCATTAAATAAATTTATGCGATTAATTTATTACGTGGTATACAATGTTAGTTATATTCGAGTTTGAATATTGGAAATAAACGAAATATATTATACGTCTCAAATGGGATTAGGCAATTCAAATGCATCAAATGCATGAAATATAATATCTACGCGATATCTCCGAAAGGCAATTGCATATTTTATTCATCGATCTTATCTATCTCTATCTTTGCCTTCTAAAAAAGTAAGATGAAGAGAATTTGTTTATCGATCCATTGTACATTGTTTTTCGATACTGCAAACTCAATTCATTTAATCTCTCGGCGTTAATCCATTTTAAAAACATTAATGCGTGAAAAGAAGTTGGACAAACTTTTCCCGAACAATCTAGTTTTTTCTTTACGCGCTCTACATCGCTTACATTCGTGCAGATCCTTGGAGAAAATGCTACGCAAAAGCATTACAATGAGGAAAAGAATACTTGACTATGAAACTTTAGCAATTAGCGGCTCTCGTATTCGTCTTTCCTTCTTTGCTAACTGGTCGTGCGCAAAAATGTGGCATACAAGATGTCTTTACATACTTAGCGGTTTATGTACACTTATTTTATATTTTAGTTTCACAATTATAGTGCCAAAAAAAAGCACGACACAAAAATTTATCTATAATCGAGTTAAAATCGAGTTTAAACTTTATTTTGGTAAATGTTCTAATGTTACGAGTTTCGAAATCGACTCGCGGTATTTGGTGGGGTTGTTTTCGTTTCTCTCTCTCTCTCTCTCTCTCTCTCTCTCTCGTTCGCTCGCTCGCAATGTATCATGCTATTAATATTGCTACAACAAATATTTTCAGAAAGTACGTTGGTTTTAGCAGAATTATTAGTATATATTCCGCTCACGTTTTTACAAACGCATCAGCGATATAATTTTTGATAAACCACTCGTATTATTAGCAAAACTTGACACGAGTTACCTTACAACTGCAAACTGATAATTTCCACAAGATAGAAGAAAATCGTTCTTCGCGCCACGCCCATTATCAGTTTCTTTTGATCGAACGAACGCGGAACCGCGAATCTCGCTTTCCCATCGCCGATCGCGTGAATTGCAAAAAGGATGGCGGGGATTTAGGTTAATCGGCTGCGGGTCCTCGACTGCAACGGCCCTCGAGGGCCACGAAACGGCTTTGAAACGCAGCCAAGAGCCCGGAATCGTCCGCTCGTTCGCTT